TGTACACTAGCAGTTAGACCAGACCTGAAAAGATTTTAAGTAGAATGTTGATGCATGGGTGGTTTGACATAAAACACAAGAACACAGTACCTGGCTAATTTGGAATAGCATTTCGTTTCAACTACTAGCGATCAGGTTGAAATAGAGGTATGCACACACATACTCTAATGCACACATACAATCAGTGATAAAAAGAGGAGGGGCTGAGAATGTGTGCAAGCTTTACTGATGTTGTCATTGAGAAATGAGAAATGATTCCTGTCGAAAAGTATTTGTCTTGGTGTTTGTATGGAACCTTGTATTGCCTGTGGCTTCTTGCTTCATGCATATACTTGCAAATGAGTTTTCCTAATTCTGTCTCTTTGTTGGATTGTGTGGCCAAACAAGTTGATTGTTTTATCTTGTTCACTTGTTCTAGGATTTAGTTTCAGTTCATGAGCAGAAAGATATCCCACTTATTCTAGGTATTTGAAGGGATCCCTCTCCCTCCCCCCCCCCCCCTCCCCAAAAAAAAAAAAACAACCACCACCAACATACACACACATTGTTGAACTTACAGATGTAGATTTCTCATAATGGCTATTGAATGTATCACTTTGGATGTTATAATGGTGCAACTGCTGCCAAGTTTTTAGTTTAGTTTAGTTTTTTTTATCTTGAAGTAGAATTAGTATATGGTGAGGCTTCTCTTTTCAATTGCTATTTGGCTGTATGTTGAGAAGAAATAAATTCATAGCTATATCATCCTTTTGTTTGCATTGGAAATAGTAATGGAATGACTTCTGCATTGATGGATATAGAACAGTTCTGGTACAAGTTTGATTGAATGAATTTGACATTTTGTCTAACTGATCAGCTTGATTATCCAGGTGGAGAGTGAAGTGAAGAAGAAAGAGATTGTAAACCATTTGATTAGTCATTTTCCCTAGGTATTGTGCAGAGTCGTCCCAATTTTGGACCAATAATTGTAATAAAACTCGGGATGCGTATAATCTTTTGTAAACACGGTTAAGAAAGGTCGGAGGTGCACAATTGTTGTCTTGAGAAGCAAGAGCATGGACCAACTCAAATTCATAGGAATGCATGATGGTATGGATCTTAGTAATGAAGATTTCGAAGAACACATATGAGTATTGACCGTGACCAGAGTAATTTATATTATCTTGCAATTATCTTAAACAATTTTTTGAATTCGTGCCACAATACTAGATGGATATAATTCCCCACAAATTGTGCGTAAATGAATTGCGACGGAATTTGAACTTGAGATCATAAATAGTCATAAACATGGCACAGTTAATGTCTTGGGCGTGGACCAACTGAAATACAATGCATGATGGTTTGGATCTTAGATTGGAGATCTCAATAAAAAATGTAGGGCTATATTTATTTTGGTAGAAGAAGTTTCTATTGAATGTGATCCTAATGATTTCCATCTTGTGGATATCTTAAACATTTCTTTAGAACTCGTATCACGATATCAATCCAATATTTGTAGTGAATCAAATTAACAAATTAAGTTAATAAATTATGACTTAATAGTATTATTCTACTAACAAACTGTGCATATTAATGCTCCGTTTGGTACGACGAAAAAGTGGGAGGATGAAAAATTGAAATGATAGAAAGTTAGAGGGATAAATAAAGCTAGAGGAATGCCATTGAGATTTAATTTATTGACTTAATTCAATATAGCTATTGAATTGACCATAGGTTTCATCAAATATTAAATTATCACTAATTCACTTAATTTTTCTTGTTGTAATTGATCTTAGGAAAAATGCTAACAATTTTAATTTTATTTTTAAATTTTAAATAATCATGGTCTATTGACTTTAATTTTTTTAGTTTAATAAAAAATCAAAAATATTTTGGTATATTTTTGTAACACCAATCAAAAAAAAATTGTATCAAAAAAAGGGCTTATATTCAGGAGAGAGGGAGGGCATTTGTTTACTATAGGAGAGAGAGAGAGAGAGAGAGAGGTGAGATACATGTTTGAAGTTTTTTAAGTTTTATATTTTGGACATAGGAGAGAGAGAGAGAGAGAGAGAGAATATTTAAAAATGAGTGGTGTTTTAGTTGATCAGTTGGATTTTTTTTTAACCCTTAGTTTTTATCCTTTTTTCTAAAAAAATTATTTGGGTGCATTTTTAATATTATTGGCCGAGTTCATGAGCTCAAACTGCTCAAATTTATTTTTGATTGGTTTTAAATTTTCATAGTATCTAAATATTTTTATGGATCTAAATATTTTTTATTTGGACTAATTATGCACATAAAAATTTTAAGGTATTATTTAAATGTGAGATCTAAAACTCAGACTTTATTGATCTTGTGGTTGAGTCGACTCTGTTTTTAACTGAACGTGACACGATTGATTTATACTTTATCCTTATCTTAAATATTTTTTTGAATTCGTGCCACAATGTAAACTCTAATTAGGTTATCTACTAATCGTACGTTAACAGAACTTTAGACTTTGAAATCTCAAAATAGTCATAACCATGCATTGATCAGCAAAGGAAAAAAATGAAATTTATTCTTGTTTTTCAAATGGTCATCAGTATAACAGGGTTTGGTGCACCAACAGCACCCACCTCGTTGCCAAAGAGTATCCAATGACAAAGACATTGCTTATTTCTTGTTCTGACAATTAGTCCACTACTATGTGAAGTACCAAGTTGGATGAACTCATTAACAAGAATAATACTATGGCAAACAAACAATTATGTACCATATTGGAAAACAAACAATTTTAATTTATTTTGTTACTATTGATCGTGAAAATAATCAAATAAAATGAAACAGTAAATACATGAGTGTTACTAAAATGAAACAATGAAACAATTTATTTGTTGCAATTTGTCTCCCGTTCTTCCTCGAGCAATTTCACACCTTCTTGTCTGCACTAATTGTCTTTTATCCCCGAACTCTCTCCTCGCATAGAGAAATAAACACATCCCGACGTATAGATGTTTATGCGTATTACCACATGTTAAGCGAGATCATGATTATGTCTCTATTGATATCGATCTAACGTAGTAACTGTCATATTACGTGTTGTTTTATAATTAGTTTACCATAATTTGTTTGACCTCTAAATTGTTTCCACCTCACATCTACCATAATAACTATCATATTATGGGTTATTTTGTAATTTGTCTAGAGAAATTATTTGCATCAATTCTTATTACAAAATGTGTTATATGTCTTTTGCATAATTCATGATTAATAGCCCATAAACAGTTATTCTTCTTCATTGAATTGTATTAATATGTGTGTGTGTGAGAGAGAAAGAGATGATAGAGAGAGAAAGAGAGAGGTGCATGTGTGTTAGTTAAGGAAAGAGATTAAAAGATGAGTTGAATAGGTGAGCTTGGAGAGGAGGGGAGATATATATATATATATATATATATAGAGAGAGAGAGAGAGAGAGAGAGAGAGAGAGAGAGAGAGAGAGGGTGCCCAAGTGAGAATGGCAGCAGAAGATGGCATTTAGTGAGAAGAGAGTGAAAGCACAGGGAAATAATTAATTAAAAGGGTTAGAAGATGAAACATTGAACAAGCAAGAGAGAGGGCAAAGATGAGAGAAAGGGAAGCAATTAAATTTGTATTTATCATCTGACGTAATACCCCCTCATTACTCTCAACTGTCTCAATTACTCTTGCATTTATTTAGTTTTTAATACTCTCTCAATCTAATATACAGTTCCTTTTTTTTTCAATGCTCGAACTACCCCCCCCCCCCCCCCCAAACACCCCATCTCTACCCCCAACATGCATTTACTTGATTACCCCTCCTTTTCTTCTAGGCCAACCCCTTCTTCACATGATATCAACATTTAATGTTTGCACATCTCATTGTATATTTAATTTTCATCTATTATTGAGGTTATTAACTAACATTGAATTAGTCGGCTACAAATTTAACAGTATGTCACCTGATGTGACATGATCTCAATTTTTAAATATTTAATGAATTCAACGGAACCCATTAATCTAACGGTTCATATTGAAGTGGTACAGAAAAAAAGAGTTTTTAATGTTTGCCGAAAATTCAATACAAAGAAAATAACGTATAACTAGTTGACTAGGCTTCATACATGGTACAATTGCATTAATCAAATCAATAAATTGTATGAGAAGAGATCGTGTCGTTTTTAAATTTAATAATGAACTACATCTGCTTGAACATATACTTCTAACAAATTCAAATAATGATAAAAAATCATTGTTTCTCGTACTATCACATGCACTGCATTTGTGTTTCACAATATTGTGAGTCCTATCAAATTTTTTAAAATTATTTCAATCGTGCATCTTTTAAACTTGTCGAGAGGATGTAAACTTTGAATTTACAAAATTATCCTTTGGGACATTTATTTTGTTCTTTCTCAATATCTCTGCGGTCAATGAATTAGGGGGCAGGAGGTGACTTAACCAAGCAAATTCAGAAATGGATTGACCTCATGGGTCCAACGTTAAATCAAAACCTTTGTGTAAAATTGATGACAAAGTACTAAAAGATACACTATTCCAGAAGGGCAAGATGCTGATATATTCTGGTAGATCATTTTTCTAATTTTTTTTTATCTTTCATATATATACCCATGTGTCATGCTTTGATAGGATGTAACATCAATGACAGAAGCATAGGTGAAGCTAGTTGTTACTTCCAAACATGAATAGGCCGTCTTCCGAGACAGAACTCACCAAACAAGAGCAGCAAGCCACATAAAGTCATTTAAATTGAAACCATTCAGATAAGAAAATTTGGGCAGGTACAGTTAGTCCATGTACATTATCTTCTGCTAAACAAGAAGAGAACTGAACCCACCAACATAACTGTTAATGCCCATATTACCAACACCCTATGGTTAAAAAACAGAGGAAATAAAAAGTAGCACTACTCCAGCTCTCATTTTCTTTTGGGGTAACGAGAAATCGTTCCAATCACCCGTGGATTAAAATAGAGGGCAAGTAGTGCTACCTAAAGTGACAAAAAAGGAAGACATAGCATGAGTCCTAATACTAGCTAGTAAAATTTAAAGCTTTTGAAAGGTTTTGCCTCCACTAGCTCTTCCTTGTCTTCTTGGTGGTGGTGGCCGTGGTGTTCTCGTGGCCGACATCGAGCAATACTGTGCTCTTACATTTAGGGCATCTCGGGTCCTCCTCGGCGAGCATGACATACATGAGGCAGCGAGGGCATCCCACTAGTACCATAGACGTTGCTTCGGGGCTGTTGGAGTACCGGAGTGTCTCGTCTTGGTTGAGCTCCGACGACAGGCATGAGGTGGGAGGAGACGTCGGCGACACGGTGGACGATCGGCTCGGAGAGGCTACATGAGGGTTAGCCCTTGGTGGGGATAAATTCAGCTTCAAGTCTAGCTTTGGATCATTTCTCCTACTCATCTTTGTATTTTCCAAAGAGATCTTCTCTACACAACCTTTGTGAAAAATATCTCACCAGTCTAAATCAACACTACAATGAATAGTCGAATCAATAATAAATCATTGTGAAACGTAATCTGAATTGAAAAACACAAACTTCGTCATTTTAATAAGAATTAATATAACAGTAGTGGCTGTTTAGCGGGTGATTGCAAATATCCGAGATTTATTCTACAAAGGTGAGTCCAATGTAACACAGTCTTGGAGAGACTCCTCGAAATGGAAAAGAAAGAATATCTATGATATCATATGATCACATATACTAAAAAAAATAGATACATGTATATATACCTTGAGACTTTTGCCAAACAAAGGGAAGAGGACAAGCCTCTTGTAATACTGTAGGAAGAAGGGAGGTTAGAATGGAAGAGATTACCGGCGGCCGGGAAGGCTCGACGGAGAGCGGCTAGGCTCCAACAGGTGACTATAATATGGCCAGGACCACCACCAACATGGACTTTTTGAAGTGTGTTTGTGGTTGTTGGTTTGAACCTCTAAGGCCATTATATATAAGAGGACTCAAGATAGAGAGATTGGTTTGCTTTAAAGAGCATAATTTAATTATGGGGAGAGGTGGAGGGTGTAGAGGAGTTGGAGAGAGAGAGAGCGAGAGAGAGAGAGAGAGAAGAGATGAATTGAATAGAATTGAAGGAGGCATGTGGTAGAAGACGAGAGAGTGTAAATTGAGGGGCAGTAAATGTATTAATTGTTGGAAAAAATCCCAAGAAGGGTGCTGAAAAAGGAAAATTGGAGTAAATATTGCAAGGGCAAAAATCATAATTGGCCCCTAAACTTTGCTTTTGATCTCAATTTGGTCCTCTAAACTTTTAATTGTCTCAATTAAGTTCTCAACTATGAAATTCATTTCAATTAAGTCATGCTGTCTATTTTTATCGTTAGATCAAATGGAGAGACTAGTCTGATCTAATCAATTTTCACCGTTTGATCATATGTTTTCATTTGATTTAACAGTAAAAATTGACGAAATGACTTAACTGAGACGAAATTAATAGTTGAGGGACTAAATTAGAATAATTAAAATTTCAGGAATCAAATTAAAATTGAAGTCAAATTTCAAGGACTAATTATAAAATTTACCCATATTGCAATTAAACAAAGTTGAGAGGCAGGCTTCACTCATTGTCTAGAGGGTCGGTGTGTGTATGTAATGCATAGAAGGGTGTGTGTGTGTGGAGAAGACTACAACTCAAGAAATGGCCAATGGCTTTTAAAGCTTAACCAAATTTCTAACAAATCCAACCACACCCCATATTAATATTGAATGTATATCTTAAATTCTGCTATATGCATGACCGAATCAGAAAGGGACTTAATCTATGATGGCTGAATCTATTTTGGTCATTCAATTTGAAGTGACTCGCAATGGTCACTAGGTTGCTAACTTAAGTACAAGTAGAATCATTCTTCTTTTAATTTGCTCTCGTTATAAATCAACCATCATTACATCAAAGACTACAAGTGGGGGCGTGTTACATGAAAACGAGTCTCTGCAAATAATACATGGCGGGTGATCTTTGGATGATCGCACTAGAAAAATTATAGTGAAGGAGATCTAAATTCATGTATTAATGCATGTTGGTGATGTATATTGGTTTGTATTTGAATTTTGAAACTATGAATCATTATCCTCCCTTATTGGTTGGCATAAATGAAAATTACTGTTTAGACCTAATTAATTTGTTGATATAAAGCATCACAATCATTGAATTAGCAATAGATTTCGATTAATGTTGGGGTCTATTGTCAATCTAATAATTGTGATACATTAAATCAATAGATATGATTCAATTACCATTGCTCGTGATAAATTAGTCATCGCTTATAAAGTTATAACGTTAGGAAAAAAATATTGGGGTGTAACGGTTACGCCACGTTAGTATGAGATAACATGTAAACAAATGGATCCCACACGAGGAAATTGCTTAATGACGTGTTATACTCGTTATACCAAATATTTACTCAATAGTTGGGTTGTGCCCCAATGTGACTGATGGATTTAAAGACCATTCATAGTTATTAAATAACATTGATTGAGTTTGATACGGAGATATTCTGTAATAAGATCTTCAAATTGCAAGTTGACTAGCTAAGGAGCTTAAAATAATCTGTCCAAAGTTTTAGGCTTTTTTTCTTGTGTACACATGACACGACTATGCATAACTATTTTTAAAATAGCCTTTGACTTTGGAAATTTTGACATATCTATTAATAATAGGGGAAGACTACCGCCACCATACAGTACCGAGAATTACAATTTTATAAGGTTAAATTATAATTTTTTTTAAGGTGTAAGTTATAATTTTTTTGAGATGTAAGTTACAATTTATAAAGGGCACGATCGATCATAGAAGGTTGTAATCGATTCTGAAAGTTATAACTTTCAAGGTTAAGTTATAACTCATAAGAAAGAAATTACAACTACTCAAGGAAAACTCATGATTGATCAGGAGCATCTGTAATCGATCATGACTTTTTTGTAAGAAGTTATAATTTCTCATTTTAAATGTATAACTTTATCATATAAAATTATAACTTTCAACATGATATCGCTTTTTTTTATTGGTATTGTAGATTTTCCCTAATCAATAAATAAATAGCAAAGTAGTACCTCTCTTTGAGCTCCGAAACTCCATCTCTCTCTTTAAAATTTTGATTTTTTTATGGTTCTAAATCCTTATGTGGTTTTTATCACTGTTAGTTATTATTTACCAAAAATTTCTAATATTGATAAGTGATTTGTTATTATTGAAGGAAATTTAGAAGAGATTCAAAAATAATAATATACACACAAAATATGAAACTTTTCTAAAACTAAATGGAATCCCTTAGACCGAATTTATAATTTCTATTATTTAGCCTTGATTTTTACTGTAGTTAAGGCTGGACTTTTACTAAGAACTCCATAAAAAAGTGAAAATATTCATTGTTTTATTTATTATATCATGTTGTTGTGCATTACATGGGATATTGCTAATAATTTTTGATAGAAATGTATTTTTATAACCAGTTTACGCGCATCACGATTAATTCTCTTCCTGGTCCGGTCAAAAATAGATTATCCACACTAAGACTAAGGTATTCACGAGGGATAAATCTTTCATAATTTGATCCTAAATAATTGTCAAGATTCGAACTCAAAATATTTTAATTGTCAAGGCTATTAATGTTGGGTTATGGCATTGCTATTATTAGACACTTAACCTGTTCAACTTGATCATCATCGTATTTTTTTGGATTTGCTATTATTATATAAACTTGAAATGTATACAATTACACATAAACCATATATTAGCTCGATCATGGTATCCCTTTAGAGATCACTTGAATCTACAATATCGAGTTATTAACCATTAAAATTCTGTCGTTCAAATTTTGGAGTTTTCTACCTTTCTTTTGACTTCAACTAACTAATCAATAATTGAAAAAAAAATGGAAGAAGAGGGAGAAAAAAGAATGACCGTAATGAAAACTTCATAACTAGTCATTTTCACTACTATTTTTAGCACCTGAACACTCAGGCTATTAAACATCTCCATTGATTTTGAATATTTCAAGTTCCTTCTCTGTAAAAGATATCTAGCATTAGCTTCTATGTTTGATCACTTGTAGCATACTTTTCCCCACCCCTTTGTTTCATCCAATTGGGACTCTTTGAGTAAGAATTGCCAAGGGATCAAAGTAATCAATTTTTAAACCAATACGTCCAGAGTTGGGATCAGACAATATGAGATTTATATCTTATAAATACTTTAGTCCCCGCATGGATGGCCTCTCTTTGGTCGAACTAGGAAGATGATTAATCGAAATGCGTGTAAACTGACCTAAATACCTCTGACCGTTAAACCGAACAAAAAAATGATTTTTAGTATAGATATTAGGTGTGCAAAATATAATTGCTGTTTAATTGTTTTGGAAACTTTCATCAATAGGAGGGTTCTGCTTTTATTGAACTTTTATGATTGTGCCTGATTAAGTCTAAGTTTTTTAATAAAAAAGGAGAGATAATTATGAATTTTAATCATTCAGGTGACATAGAGTGCATCATTTGGTGTTAAATTGGGTTGAGTTGGTCATGTGATTGATCTCGCCGAATTCACATTAGAAATTGTTGACATGCACACAAACAAATTTTTGAATTGCGTGTAAAAACAAAACGAACCACGTCTATACCCAAACATGAAGTAGACGAAAAATGCCTGTTTGGTCCCTGTCGCTTTCATATCAAATACAGATTAATGGGTTATCAAATAAAAGTCCTAGATATGATGAATTGTATGTATCAAACAGATGCTATTTCAATGAAAATCAGCACATTTATATTGCTTTACCATTAGTAATTCTAATTCATACACGACCAATTCACGTGCATTAGATAGTATAGAGGTTTATAGAGGGTAGTGGTAGTATGTTCATGCTATAAATAGCCAAAAAAGGGAGATCTGAGACTTAAAAAAAAAAAAAAAACTTACATGGATATGATTTTTGGAGGTTTTTCACCAATTCTATCTTATTTACACCCACCGTGGATAAGTACGTATTTAATTTATACCAGCCATTTATGTCACATGAATGGTATTTTCGTCAAAATTTCCCGGGATAGGGGGGCAATTTTGGTAATTTTAGATTGCCTGTGATTAGTTATTGTGATCTAACCAACTATTTATTTTGGAATGAGAAAGGTTTTGTTTTGCACATTTTGTTGCTTTCTGAATGAATTGCAATTGGAAATATGTCACCAGCCTTCTACTTGTTTATATGTCATCATGACCCTTTGAATAAATGCTTCTCAGTTTGGGGGTTGCTAACATGTTTGTGTCTTCATAATGTTGGTGTTTGTTTGAATGTAAGTAATAAATAATTTACACTCGCCTTCACTTCAAAAAAAATTTCCGTACAAGTAACAACAACAATTTTTTATCCCCGGGGGATTCATGGTTTGGTTGGAATCTACCATTTCATAATTTTTTAACTAATTTTATTTTAAAAAAAACAAGATCAAAATTTTATTTGA